TATATATAAATATATATATACATCGATTCAATATTAAACGTTTCATAAGGAATATATCGTGGATGTGTGATTCCCTTGAAGAAAATATCATCTAAAAGCGCTACCATAGTAAAGTTATGCTTGCCACTTAACGACTAATCAGAAGATCCGTGTGGAGCTTTCAAGCGCGTTATTTAAGTTCTGTTTGATCTTGATCTAGTAACGTCACTACACTTTGTTCATTAAATCACTGCCGAGTGACTCAGGCCTCTAACTTGTCTGCCTATGATGATTTTCGTATTATTTTTTCTCTCCCAGCTTACACTGATAGCAAAATATGGTTTACGCTCGTGAACCTTACGGTGCTGGAAGGATATTACGTGATCTTGGTTTTTTCGGGGCTAAAAGAGTGTTGTTTCAACTCTTTGTGCTAACAACCAAATCGAGCGATTTCAAAGAGCAAAGTAAACTCAAACGATACAAGAGTTAATAACGCGACTGTTGAAATTTACATGGAAGAGTAGAGACAAACAAGTTGTATACTCTATGCGAATATGAATTTCACAAATTGTTAATCTGCCCTTTTGTTTCTTCCATTTTCATTGGAAAGCATTATTTTCCACCCAGAGACATGACTGCACGTTTATTAATAGATAAGATGAGTTTATGAATCTGTGTGTGTGTGTGTGTGTTCTTATTCCAACGATCGAGTAGTGACGCACAAAAGCTCAAGTGTAACATCTCTTGGAGTGAGTATGGGTATTTTGCTCATCAAATGTCAGAGAGAATTTGAAAAAGTTCGGTGTGTGTAATTGATGGTCCTGGCGATCAATTGGTAAATAATTGAGCCGAATCGTGATGCGTGAGGTGAAGAAGTAAAGGCTAATTCATTCAAGTTCAGATAATTTTTCGATGCAGCGCAATCGTCTCGAATCTTAATACGTTGCGCTACAAATCTCTCATCTCGTCTCATTTCCTTTCAATCGTTACCAAGAAATCGTTTTAAAAAATCGCAGTAAATCATGCATACTTTTTCAAGGCGTTCCGCGCTTACCTGCACATTTTTTGTACGCTTTCCGAGAATAACTTTAAAAGACGAGGACTTGTTGAATTTAAGGGACGTAAATTATCACGGGAGTGTAACGATCGGCCTTCGTGGTTATATTATACATTGAGGGCACGTGTATCTCTAAATTTATACTTTTTTTTCTAGCGTTTTCGTGATAGTATGTACATGAATATGTGAAAAGTCGTGAGTACATTTATAAATACGCGAAAAAATAAAAAGTGACGTAAGTTGGATTATACCTTTTTAGAGAGCTTCGAAGGTTAAGCACATAAAAAAAAAATTGGCCAAAAGATACCGTTTGCGTCGACGAATCATTCATTTCCGTGTCTTATTTTTTTTTCTCTTCTTACGTAACTGCTAGTGAAATTTTTCATCTTGCATTGGAACTTATTATCAATTATGATACGAGGACAGAAAACTTTGGTGCACGAATTTTTTAGGGTCACCAGTGACATGTACACTTACACTTGAAAATGTTTTTATGCACATATCGGTACAGTATTATAAATGTGTTCAACAAAGTGCGTACAACGATGTAAATTTTTTTTTTTTTTTTATTCCTTTAGCGTCAAGATTTAGAAGGTCGGCGTTTTCAATTTTCCCAGTAAAAATGCTAGAAAAAAATTATCCAAAATATATTCGATCTCACAGTTCTTCTTTCAACCAACTGTACTTGAAATTGGATGTCTCAATTGACTTGAAATCAACTAAATACTCAATTTTTTAAATCAACTGTGTACTTATGAGCTTATTTTTTCAAGGAATTTCAGAATAAATCACTTGACGTGTCATATGACGCGTAGTGACAATCAAAAATGGTCCCCGGCCCGGCATAGCAGAACTATAGCAGAAGTCTGGGTAGCACACGTGGATCTAACATTTTTACATCTGCAGTTTGCACCTGATGCACGTCGAAATCTTACTTACAACTATTTGAGAGCATATAGAGTTTTTGTTACATCCACTGTGTGAGTTGTTCAATCACATTGTATCGATTGTACTCACGGAATACTTATTGGGTACAGGTATTGTTTTTGTTTTTTGTCAAGTTGTTGCATCAGATTTGGCCGAACGAGACCTCTCCCACGATACACTTGTGTGGATACATTATACTTGCCCCTCTGGATATAGTTGCAAACTAGCAAAAATGGAGTCTATAAACTTCCCGGAAGAGGAGCAGGTGATTTTGGAGCTCTGGAAGAAGCTCGATGTGTTCAATAATTGCTTGAAGCAGTCCAAGGGCAAGCCCCGATATTCCTTCTACGATGGGCCACCCTTTGCCACCGGCTTGCCCCATTATGGTCACATTTTGGCTGGTACCATCAAAGATGTGGTCACCAGGTAAGGAGAAATCGGCTTTACTTTTCCTCTCTACTACTAAAAATATCCAACTCTCTTAATGGAAAAAGAAAAAAAAAAAAATTTAACTGCGTGATGGTAGTACAGTAGAAGTATACGCTTCATGTCAATAATCCCGCAGGTACGCGCACCAGAGAGGTTATCACGTGGAGCGACGGTTTGGCTGGGACACGCACGGCCTGCCCGTTGAATTCGAGATCGACAAAGCTCTGAACATCAAGGGCCCCGATGATGTTATGAAAATGGGCATTGCCAATTACAATAAGGAGTGCAGGAGCATAGTCATGAGGTATGCCTCAGAATGGGAAAAGATTGTTGGCAGACTGGGAAGGTGGATAGATTTTAAAAACGACTACAAAACATTGTACCCCTGGTACATGGAATCCATATGGTGGGTCTTTAAACAGCTGTACGACAAGGGCTTGGTTTACCAAGGTGTCAAGGTAATGCCCTATTCAACTGTCTGTAACACGCCACTATCGAATTTCGAGTCTGGCCAGAATTATAAAGACGTCGTCGATCCAGCTGTTGTGATTTCATTTCCTCTTCTGGACGAGCCTAATGTCAGTATGCTGGCGTGGACGACGACGCCGTGGACTTTGCCGAGTAATTTGGCCCTGTGCTGCAATCCAGACTTTGAATATGTTGACGTTCTGGATCATGAAACAGGAAAGATTTTTGTTTTATTGGAATCAAGGCTCGAGGAAGTTTACAAATCAAATGATCTGTACACTATAAAAAGAAAAAGAAAAGGTTCCGATTTACTTGGCAAATCTTATGAACCGTTGTTCCCGTACTTTTCACATTTAAGAGAAAAAGGTATTTTTTTTTTTTTTTTTTTTTTTTTTTTTTTTACATAAATTATGCATTCTACTTCTGTAAATCCATTTTCTGACCTTCATATTTTGCAGGAGCATTCAGAGTTTTGAATGATAAGTATGTGGGAGCCGACTCTGGTACCGGTGTAGTTCATCAGGCACCATACTTTGGAGAAGATGATTATCGCTGTTGTTTACAGGCAGGAGTAATTACCAAAGACCAAGAAATCGTGTGTCCTGTAGACAATCGTGGGTGTTTCACGGAACCTGTTAAAGATTTTCTTGGAAAACATGTTAAGGATGCAGACAAAGAGATCATCAAGTACCTTCGATTAAAGGGAAGATTGATTAAAAATGACACGAAAAAACATTCTTATCCTTTCTGCTGGCGCTCGGATACACCTCTTATTTATAAAGCTGTGCCTTCTTGGTTCATCAGAGTAGAATCATTCAAGGACAAGCTACTAGAAACTAACGCTCAAACACACTGGGTTCCGGATTACGTGAAAGAAAAGCGCTTTGGCAATTGGTTGAAGGAAGCTCGAGATTGGGCAATCAGCAGAAATCGTTACTGGGGCAATCCTATTCCAATTTGGATCTCCGAAGATAGAAAAGAAGTCGTTTGTGTTGGAAGCATTGCTGAGCTCGAAAAGTTGACAGGAAAAAAGGTAATTGCAATTACAACTGCCTAAAAAATTTTATCCATGGTTGCAGGAAAAAACAAAATATGCTTTGTTGTTTAGATAACGGACATACATAGAGAAAACATCGACGACTTGAAAATCCCGTCGAAGCGTCCTGGCTGCCCTCCTCTCAGTCGCGTACCAGAGGTCTTTGACTGCTGGTTTGAGTCTGGTTCGATGCCGTACGCGCAGGTGCACTATCCCTTCGAGCGAACCAAAGAGTTTGAAGAAAGCTTCCCAGCGGACTTTGTAGCTGAGGGAATCGACCAAACCCGTGGCTGGTTCTACACACTATTGGTCATATCGACGGCCCTGTTCGGTAAGCCTCCTTTCAAAAACCTCATAGCCAATGGACTGATCTTGGCTTCGGATGGACAAAAGATGTCGAAGCGTAAAAAAAACTACCCCGATCCGATGGAGGTAGTCAACAAGTATGGCGCGGACGCGCTCAGGCTTTACCTCATAAACTCGCCAGTCGTCCGAGCGGAAAATCTTCGCTTCAAGGAGGAGGGCGTGCGCGACGTGATCAAGGACGTATTCCTACCGTGGTACAACGCGTTCCGCTTTCTCATCCAGAACATCGAGCGCTTCGAGCACGAGGAACGCTGCAACTTTGTGTACAAGGGGGTTCAAGGCAATGAATCCAGTAACGTTATGGATCGCTGGATAATCTCCTTCACCGAGACGCTGTTGCAGTTCCTCAAGAACGAGATGCAAGCTTATCGTCTCTACACCGTCGTGCCAAAGCTCGTCAAGTACATTGACAATCTGACCAATTGGTACGTGCGCATGAACCGTAGGCGTATCAAGGGCGACACTGGATCGAAGGAGGACTGTCAGCTGGCCCTCAACACTCTATTCCGCGTGGTCTACATGATGGTACGCATCAACGCGCCCTTTACCCCCTTCCTCGCCGAATTCATGTACCAGAAGCTGCGCCGATACCTTAGTTCCGACTCACCAGCGGCCGAGCTAGCGAGCGTCCACTACCACATGATACCGGAGGCGTGCGCCAGCTTAGTCGACGAGCCCACCGAGCGAGCCGTCGCCTGTATGCAGACTGTCATCGAGCTGGGCCGTATCGTGCGCGACCGGAAAACCCTGCCGGTCAAGTACCCTCTACCCGAAATCGTGGTCATCCACCAGGACGCCGAAGTACTCACGGAACTTCTCACCCTCAAGTCCTACATTCTCGAGGAACTGAACGTTAAGGAGCTCACGGTGACCACCGACAAGAGCAAATACGGAGTACAGCTGCGCGCTGAGCCCGACCATAAGAGCCTCGGAGCGCGACTCAAGTCGGATTTCAAATCCGTCGGGGTGGCCATCCGAGAGCTCAGCGACGAGCAGCTCCAAGCCTTCGTAGCCACACAGCGTATCGAGGTCAATGGGCACGAGCTCACGGAGCAAGACCTCCGGCTGATGTTCAAATTCGAGGGCCCAGCTGCCGAGCAGCTTGCCAAGCGCTACGAGGCTCACAGCGAGGCCAACGTCCTTGTACTGCTCGACATCACGCCCGACGAGAGCATGAAAGACGAGGGTCTTGCACGCGAAGTTATCAACCGGGTGCAGAAGCTCCGCAAGAAGGCCAAACTCGTGCCGCTCGACGAGGCTATCGTCTACTACGAGATCACAGCTACGGCTGCTGACGCTCCCGATATCGCTCGAATAATCGTCAGCCATCAGGAATTCATCGAGACGACGACCAAGACGCCCCAGAAGCACGTCCGCGATATGCCTGCTAATACCAAACCGGTTCTCGAGGAGACCAGCAATATTAAAGGCGCTGAGCTACACCTGTTGCTAGTCCGCGTTTCGACTGGCAATCAGACGCCTGATGCTCCTTCAGCTACAGGAGACGCAAGCCAGCCTTTTAGCACTTACGTCAATGTACAGTTGCATGGTTTGTGACCGATTTTTCTTTAATCCCACTCACATATTGATTTCTTTGATACAATTCTCACGAGCTACGGGCTTACAGGCTCAATTCAGCCGAGGTATGGGGCCACTAGCCGAATTGGGACCATCCTACTGGAGAGCGCTGGCGCGCGAATCACTGACTGTGCCCAATTGAAGGCCGAAATCAACAAGATATTCGGTATTTACGGTTGCCACTACGGATTATTTATTGAAGGCAAACAAGTCGACAAGAGCACGAAAATTTCGTCCTTAAATGGAGCTCTTGTAAGTGTCGTCAAGATTGGCGATGAGCCACCGAGCACAGAACCAGTTCTCAAGCAGCCAGCCTGTCGGTTCATAAATGTGCAAGGTAAAGAGAGTAAGGGCACGGTGCTGCTAGAAAATCCTCAAGGAAATTTCATCCTCAGTCAGGAAAGCCTCAAAAAGAGACTTGGGCTATTTTACAAAAATTCAAATTTGTTACTTCCTCCAGTTGATACACTTAAGCTACATGGATTCATTATACAAACGACCCCGTGAGCATACACTTTTTTGTTAATTTTTATACTATTCTTACAATTTTTAAAACGGTCGAGACGACTTTATCACAACTCATCCAATCAATTTATAAATAACATCTCACTGAATCACGATTACGTTTACAACAGTGTGATTGTAAATACGATTAGATTACAGTATTTAATAAAGAAAAAAAAATATATATAAATCATAAGTTATTTTACAATACTTATTTCACGTACCTTCCGTTATCTGTCATTTTTTTGTACAAAATGAAATTAAAATGGTAACGAAAAAAGTATACTGTGTAGAGACACTGAAGTAATATTATTAATTTTTTTTATTTATTTATTCGCATAAAATATTTATGTACAAAAACGTAAATAAAATTTTTTACAATTAAAATTCAATTGTATGAATAATCAAAAATCCCTAAATTTATTTGTTCAATGTTTACACCTGTCAAACACAATCAAAATGTAAAACTATTGCACTGTTGGTTATACTGGTAACTTTGTTAATACGTTGTGACTTTGGCCAGAGTAAACATGCATAATTTAATTCTATTAATTAAATAAATAGTTAAAATATCTTACCAAAACTAAGTACGCCATTCTTGCATACGTATGTACAAGCGAGAATGAAATTTTGTGTTAACTGAAATCTGCATTTTGGGCAGTGACTAGCAAAACGTTTGACAAAAAGTTTAGAAAGATGATAGCGCAAAGTAGGATGACAAGTAGTGGAATGTTAATGAAATGCCTCCAAGCGCAGAATCAGCTTATGTCTGATGCGCAACGAGTTGGATCCGTTGACGAGGCGTTCGGACATAAATGACTCGCCTCTGTTCGTCCGGATGTATGAGCTGATCGGTATTTTTCCAGCGATACTTTTTCTCGCTCTCTTTGACTCGTCGCCTGTCTATGTAACTTATGACACAGCTGGTTGGAATCCAGATGAGCGAAGTACTGATAATGACGGCACCCACGATGTTGTCCTTGAGGAAGCGCATCACCTTATTTATGTTTATGTCCTCTATGATGTCCCAGAACCTCTCGACGACGTCCTGTATAGTTTTCTCGCAGGTACCCTTGTTACAGAAGCCATGTATGCAAGGAGTGCCATCCGGCAAAATGTCCTGCGGGTCGATTGGGAAGCACGTGTCGTTGAGACCCATGCGGCAGCACCTCTTGCACGCATCGCTCGCTGGAAAAAGAGGCAATGTATTATATGTTGATACGCTGGAACAGGCTAACGGTTTAAGGACTGATATAGACTTACGCGTATCACACATGCAGCTGGTGAGACCCTGTGTCTCGCAGTACGGCACGCACTTGCCCTGGTGGCACTGGCCGCGCTCGAGGCAACTCGTACCGTCCTTCATGGGTGGCGAGCGCGGACACTCGCTCAAGACGCCCGTGCAACGGGACTCCTGCTCGCAGGTCGCGTACTGGGCGTCCCGGCACTTGATGCCCGCTCCCATGTACTGACAGTTCTGGCAGCAAGGCGAGTTTTTGTCACTGCACACGGCACCGTGATTGCGCCGAAGTTTGCAGTTCTTGTCGCAACAAGCGTCATTATCCTCGGTGCCGAGGAGACCCGCGTCACACTCTTCGTCACCTTCGACGCGCAGGTTACCGCAGAACGACTCCTCGGGCTCCGAGAAGCACCTACCCGACTTTGCCTGTAGAACATTGCGAATAGCGCGCAGACTGCACGGCGAGAAGCGCTTGTTGTTCACATCATAGCCACTTACGCTGTAGGTATACATTAGGTACGAACCACCCTGGCTCGCACTCGGACTGCATTCCTGCACATTTGACATGCGAAACGTTGGACATCGACCACTTATATTATATTGCCTATCCACACCGTCAAACTCGACTTACCGTTATATCGGGATCATGCTCGGATCCCCAGTTGTGGCCAAACTCGTGGGCAGTCACTAAATCCGCTTCACGTGTTATCACTCGCTGCCCGTAGTGATTTCTGCTGGAGCTCAAACCAGAGTTCAGGTACAGAGTGTAGCCGTTTTTAAAGTACTCTGCAACCCAGAGTTTTATTTGAGGCCAGTTTTTATCGGGACTCGTTTTGCAGTTTAAATTATTTTATGGATTATAACTTTGAAAAAACGCGTACCTGGTGTGCAAATTCCTCCAACGGAGTTTCTGCGAGGAGAACCAACGTAGGCCAAACCCAAGATGCCCCCTTCGAATTTCAAGTCGGTAAATAGATGAGCTAGGCAAAAATCTTTGTGGCTATACTCTCTGCTAAATACCTAATAATTAAAATTATTCGGATCTCGTAAGTCATATATTGATTTTACGATAAAGTCTAAACAGTCTTGGAGTACAAAGAAGGCGATCTTACCTCAAGCAATGTTCTGACATCCCACTTTTCTCGAACCATATTGTAATGCGTATCGCCACCTCTGACGCGAGTTGGCTCACTATGAACAACTATTTTCTTGATGACAAATCCCATCCCCTTGAAACCATCTTGTTCTTTATGATCCTGCCACATTGTGTCGTTGTAGATTTTGTGAACTCGATCGATTAAACTTATCTATAATAGAAAACATATAAATTTAGTGTTATTTCAGTAGTAGGCATGATACAGGCAAGCATAATGTTGAAGTATTTATAAAGCATTACCAAGTAATTAATTGTGGTTTTGGTACTACTAGCACCCATTTCTTGGTAAAATCTGTAATCAGCTACTAAAAGTAATGGACATCTCGTTTTGGTTGGAGTATACTCATAAGTTTCTGTTTGACGTTTTGACCTGTTGCCAGAGTTTTCTCTGTAATTCTGTACATCATTTTCGAGTGACACACCCTTGTTGTAAAGCTCTGCCCCTTCTTTCACATATCCACATGTTCTTGGAGTGCCATGAGTGTGGCCTACACCATCTTGATAATGTTCCCAACTAAATTTAACATCTGATGCCTTGTATACAATCATTGTTTGATTATCCAAATGAGAAAGATGCCTCCATGATGGCTAAAATCAATACATTTTTTTTTTTTTTTTTTTTCAAATCTTGCATCATCACAACAAATGAGTAACAAAATTGAGGACTTACTTCAATGTGATAAGTTTCGTCAGGTAAAATAATACTTCCTGTCAAAAGACCATCATCTATGTGCACTTGGACGTGTGAATTTTTTTCCCCAAACACTCGCCCGTGGTAAAAGCTTTCATGATCTATATCAGACACATAATACATTTTATTCAAGTTTATACTGAAATTATTTAGAACTGAAAATTATATTTACCTAGATGCACCGACTTTTCCTGGCCATCTCCATCCACTTCATAAGCTTTGAATTTTGAGTGAATAACTTCCTTTCGTGGAGTTAAAATTAGTCTGAATTGTCTGTAACAGTTTGAACATTGTTTTTTTAACTTGTTTAATATAAAATTTTATCTTGCAATACTATTAATTAAATTAAAAAATGCCAACCTTCCATGAGTATAAAAGTCCAATTCATTTATTTTGTTGAATGGATGATAACTGTGTTGTGTACCTCGCTTAACGACTCTGTGCTCGAAATTCGAGGCATGAAGAGTTTCGTAATATTTAAGATTTCTATGAAGACCCACTAAAAAGTATCGTTTATCATTCAATTGATTAAATGAAGTTTGACAAAAAGTAAAAAAAAAAAGCTAACCTGTAACGGTGATGTATTTACTATAAAAGGCTATTAAAGCCCAGATAAAAATGTGTTTCTTCATAATAAAACATTTAATAGAATTGATAACAATAGGTAGTGAGAGTAAAATCACATTCCCAAACTGCAAAATTCACAAAAAATCTCGAATAAATAAGTAAATCGTATCACAGAGAGCAGAGCACCAAAATTCCCTGGCTCTTGCTAATCACTCCAAAAACTTTTTAAAAGTCACAATCGTTTAAATTCATATAGTTTAATATCACGAATCACGACTACTTATAAAAAGTAGTCAAACAAAACTTTTGAATCATTTAATTTTTCACAATTGTCTCAGTGTTGTCTCTCTGTTGTTGACAGAAGAGATGCTTTCTGCAACGCCATCACCATTTGACAATGCAATTGATGGTGTATGTGTATATAGATGTTCACATATACACACAGCATAAAATATATATAGCTACAATCTACAATAACCTCGAAAAAACAGTGTTAAAAAAAGACTGAAAAAGTTAGTGCTGATTATAATATTAATAGTTTATTGCTTAGATTTTTAATAATTTGCCCATATTTTACATAAAAATGGAAAAAGGAGGTTAGTACTTTTATTTTGATATTTTTTTTTTTAACTTATTACATACTCTACACTCTATTAATGTTACAAATTAATATATTTTATATAAATTATTTCATCAACTTTATTTTTTAACAACGTATTTTTATTATGGCTTTGATCGTTTATTTTTCAATTGTTTTTCAGAAATTTGTAAACACTTCAATGACATTATTGCAAATGAAAAAGATGTGTCAGCTGGAATGGCTACAATTTGCACATTGTTAAAAGTATTAGAAAGATCCAAGTGTAAGTTTTTATTTTTTTTTTTATTTAAACTTGACTGAGCAGTACCTAATATTAAACTGATATTTCATTTGACTAAAATAATTGTAGCGGAAACAGTGCAAGAATTACAGTACTGTCTACAAAATGCTGTTGACATAATGAGATCAACTGATCATCCAGTGACAGCTATTGCTTCAGGCAGTGAGCTTTTTCTTAGGTTTATTACTTTGGCTGCCCTTGATACACCAGTAAGTTACTTAACAAAATGAGTTACATGTTCATATTCATATTATTTAAAATGTTTCCTATTTTTTTTTCCCAAGTCATTTGCAGAATGTAAAAAAATCATGTTACAAAGAGGAGATATATTTTATAAAAAATTAGTGGCTGCAAGAGGAAAAATCGCCAAGTTGGCATCTAAATTCATTACAGATGGATCTGTAAGTTGTACTTATTTTACCAAATATTTACCAAGTTATACATTGTATGTTCATAAAATTTTTCTAGAAAATATTAATACACTCCAGATCAAGAGTTATTTTACAAACAATGAAAGCTGCAGTAGCTTGCAATAAAATTTTTGAAGTTTATGTTACAGAATCACTACCAGATAGTAGTGGGTATGATTTCATACTTAAATTGAATAAAAACATGTAATTATTGTTCTATTCGTTTTATTAGTAAATGATGGGTCTTTTTGAAAATAGGATAGAAATGTGCCAAAATCTCAAAGACTTGGGTATTTCATGTACATTAATATTAGATTCTGCAATGGGTTACATAATGGAACAAGTTGATATGGTAATGGTAGGAGCGGAAGGAGTAGCCGAAAGTGGCGGTATTATTAACAAAGTAAGAAAAAAATTTCGAATTATTTCATATTCTTCAACACCTAAGTTGATTTTTTTCTCAAGGTTGGAACTTACACAATGGCAATTTGTGCAAAGGAAATGAAAAAACCATTGTATGTACTTACAGAAAGTTTCAAATTTTCAAGAATTTATCCACTCAATCAAGTTGATCTTCCTGATGAATTTAAGGTGCCTTGAAAAATTTTTCTAATTAATAAATCATAGATGCATGTTGTCTTTTTTATTAAGAAAAACTTGAACTCATGTATAACTTTTCATTATGTAAAATTTTTACTTTTTACAGTACACATCTAGCACATTGAGGAAAGATGTTAGTAAAGAACACCCACTGGTTGATTACACGCCTCCTCATTACATTAGCCTGCTTTTTACAGATTTAGGAATCTTAACTCCTTCAGCCATCAGTGACGAACTTATAAAGCTTTACTTATAACAGATTAAAAAATAAAGTCAAGTATAATATTGTCATTATTTTTTTTAATTAAATTTTTACAAAGTTTTTATCCAAGCATAAATTATTTACTTGAATCAAATAGTGTAAATATGGATTCAATAAAAATGACTCAGTGAGCTAATAATGTACTTTCGTGTTTGTCCGTTTTAAAAAGTTATTACAAAGTTTTCACCTTCTAAATTTTGTTAAGAAATGAGCAAAAACATTTTTTTTTTAAATTACTAATTTTTTTTTTTTTTTATTGTCAGTTTTTTGTACAAAGAAATAGGTCAGCGTAAAAATAAAAAAAAATTTTTTTAATTGAGTTCGAATAGACAAATTGAAATACAACTATTCATGTTTTTTACTTGAATTATTTTCAATAAAGAATATAAAAACAGTTGTAAAAAGTCTTATTAAAAATTTCTTGTAATCAAAAACATATCTAATAGTTTAATTAATTACAGTAACTACAACGATAAACACAATAATAATACTTCTTTCGATAAGTATGATTGATAAGTATACTAAACTTGAAGTTCATATCTAGGATTATTTTTCCTTTTTATAGCACGATGTGTAATCCACATGTACAGAAAATATACACGCATGCACTTACATAATCTCGAAATTTTTCTAAGAAAGATTCTCAGTAATTTTTCATATTAATTAAACTATGGCAGGAATTTTAACATCGAAATTTAAATTTCAATGATGATTTCATCTGTTGGCCAAATGTAATATTGATTTCACTGTATGTACATTTATACTAGCCGGTTTATGCTTGAACAAGTCTGTAGCTTGGAGCTAAAGAATCAATAGTAGAATATATTTGATCAAAATGTGGTCTTTTATCCGGTTCATACTCCCAACATTGTAGCATAAGACGGTAAATTTCTTCGGGGGTACCGTCAGGAGCAGGCATTCGATAACCTAAGGTTATATAATTGTGGCTTAATTTGAAGCTCTAATAATCAGTATAATGACTATGGTAATATGCCCTTTTGCTTACCTGAGTCTATTTTCTCACGGGCTTGCGAGTTCGACAACCCACTGTAAGGATAGCCGCCTTTTGAAAAAATTTCCCACATCAACACTCCATAGCTCCAAACATCACAAAGGGAAGTGTATTTTCCTAAAAAAAAAAAAAAAAAAATTAAGTACTATTTAACGTGAATAAAAAAAATTTTGTATTTATAATTTTAGCTAAATATTGGAAGTAAATGTAACTACCAAAATTAAGGGCTTCTGGAGCTGTCCATTTTATAGGAATTTGTTTCATACCGTCCGACACAATATACTCTTCCTCTTCTCTAGACATACCAAAGTCCGAAATTTTTACAATTGACTCGTATCCTGCAAATCAAAAACACAAATATTACTTTATTACTAGTTTATTTATTTCCATGTAAGTAAGTCAATTCAAAAAAGTTTACGTACCAACAAGACAATTCCTAGCGGCTAAATCTCGATGAATACAGTATTTAGATTCTAAATAACACATTCCAGCAGCAGCATCTTTGCACATCTGATATTGCTCCGCTTGAGTTATAGTTGAGACATTTTTTCTTAGATATGTCAACAATGACCCACCTTAAAAAATATATCATGAACCGATTTTGAATCACATTAAACACTTGAAATAATTAATAGATTTTAACTGTGAATGAAAAACAATTAAATGGTAAGAAAAATTACCTGGAACGAGCTCCATAACAATCATGATTGGTTGTTTTTGTACACAAATTCCTATAAGTTTCACAATATTCGGGTGGTCATATTGCTTTAAAATTCTACCTTCTTGCAAAAACTTTTTTTTTTGTTCATCCGGCAGTGTTATTTTACAAGTTTTAACAGCTACTTCAGTCTTACACGTTTTCAATAATGCTCTGTGCACATCTCCGAAGTTACCCTAAAAAAATAAAAACAAATTATCCAAATCAATTTATCCATGTGTTCTACTATCACTTATTTAAATATACCCACTCGACCGATTTTTTCTAATAATATGACGTCGTCGTTATTTAATTCCCACCTCTCTCTCAGTATCGGGGTTTTCAAGATAGCTCCTGAACGACTAGTTACTGCTAAACCAGATTTAAGCTGGTGCGTTATGAGCTCTCGTATTGACGGAAATGCAGGACCTTCAAATCGAAAGTGGCCCTAAAAGTTTTAATCATTAGGATTTTTCATTAAAAATATTTCATAGTTAAGTTCGAATGATTTCTACCTCTTGCGTAGTCTGAACAATAAAATGTTTATGGCCATCCCAACAAACAGATAGAACAATTTGACATTCATCGTTCCTCGTTGTTTCACGCACAAGAAAGTCTCCTTCATTGACCAACAAACGTACAACTTCTTCTCGTGGTAAAACACCATGAAACCACTCTTCTTCCGTTAAATCGCCGTTTCCATTTCCTTTCTGATTATTGCAACTGGAAATTTCACGATGCGCTCCCTTCATTCATAAAAAAGTATTAAAAATACTTGAATTTTATAACATAATATTCAAATCAATACTATAGCACGCAATAATGTATTTTCATTCGTTTAATTTAGATATTAACTGATTAGTGGGAAAATTATACATTCAGTAATACATACATGTTAATATTATCCATTGGACAAACTGTTAAAAAAACATTAAAAATGTTATTCACGCAGCTATGATACTTATAAATTGACATCAATGTTTGCTTTTCAAAAAGTTATGAAAAAGAAAAAATTTTAATTGACAAAAAAAAATTATCATTAGATAAATCTTCTTTAATGTACAACGAATTCATTGAATAAAGAAAAATTTTTTTAAAAATTTGACGATAAAAATTTCATAAAAAATTTCTGATAAATTCTAAATCAAGCAAAATCAATTCACAACTAAAAATAAACCATGTAAAAACGTACAAGTGAAGGGGATTCCGTTATTCTAGGAATACCAGAATCTTCGCTACTAGCTCTAAAAAGACCATTTTTACCATTTTGTATTGCTGGTATTGATTTAAAAGGTGTTTTAACGAATTGCATTATTTTTTTATTTTTCCTCAACGTGAAAAGACCACTGTCTGTTATGGAACATTTCTGTAATTCAATGGTACAAGCACGATTAATACTCAATCATTTGTGTGTGCTTTAGTATTTTAATTACACCAAACGATTGAGACATGTATTTAAACATTTTGTTAGTGTTTTGACACGTTTTTGTTCAAATTTAATGATTGTTTATAAAAATAATTTTACTGAGTGTAAGTAATTTAGGGCGATTTATTTTGATTAACGTAAAAAAGTGAGAAAAATCAATTTTTTCAAACGTTTTCTACCTTGTTCAAAGTTTCCGTGAATGATACTTCCATTGATAAATCGCATCCAGAGGGTACTTCTTCACAGCCCAATTCATTCAGAGCACATCTTATGACATCCACTTGTCGTTGTAATTTCCTCTCTTGACAACGTAATCTTAGTTCTTCGCGTTCTTGTGCACAATCTAAGGCAGATCTGTAAAAATTAATTTAATAAACAATTTTTTTTATTGGTCATCAAAACATCTGAATCATATGGAAACCATTTCTCACTTTGAATCGCTATTATTTTCTGCATTAGACTGCGCAGTTTGTCGAGACAATTGGGTAGTTTTCAAAGATGCCTCTAATTCGGTTAATCGATTTCTTAACCAATCTATTGTCAAATTATCAACTGTCAACTTGTTTGGAAGAAGTTTACCCGAAGTATCATTGACGAGATTTTCATCAAATGTAAATCTTATTGGGGATGCTGGTCTAGTTCTAATATTAAAAAAAAAAAAATTGATAAATAAACAAAGTTGAGTTTTTTTTTTTTAATTTAGACATACCTGTGTTTTCCTATAAAATCTTTATATTCGTCTATTGGCTTCACAACATCGACAGCTTTTTTCATGCGAGCATAAATTTCCAAAAACTTTTCGTTTGTAAAATCTGTATACTTCACTATTTCTTGAAGTATACCTTTCCTACAATCAAGTGAACATTTAATATTTAATAAAATAAAGTACAAATATAAAAATACATCCTTGTTAAATGAAATTGCGAAATTTAAATGGTTTATAAAACTATTAAAAAGTTTTTGCTAAAATTAAATTGTGCAGTAAACTTACCAAGTAATTGTGAAGTCCTGATGAATGGCTTGTTGTCTTTGAAGGAGACTAGGTAAATAAGATGTCCGTAAATCATGTTCACATTCGGTGACTGCTCCCAAAAGTAAAACATATTCATTGTGCGTCAAATGTAATTTTCGACATGCTTTCTGATACTTTTCCCTTACTTCATCAACTTTACGTCCAACCCTTCCAGCTGAAATTTTCATTAATGTAAAAAACAAATTATGAACGAATTTGATAATAAACCCATGAAATTTCGATCGGGTAAATGTTTTACTTACATCGAACATAGTGCTCTTCAAATCTGAATCTCATCAGCTTATACATCTCAAGATTTTTTTGGTATTCGGTCTTTTTTCTGGTTACTTCATCTGTTAACTAAAAAATCATAAACTTTAAAAGAATAGCCCAGAAAAATTGAATAATTTCAGTCAACTATACAAACCTGTTGAAACTGATTAGTTAACCAAGATTGCTCTTCTTGGTACAATTTTCTGGCTTTTCTCCTTTCCGCGTGAAGGGAAGTTATTTGCTCCAAGACAATGCTTTCCATGGCATCTGCCTGCTGTTTAATTAATTTAGAAGTCTGATCCATTGATTCCATAATATCCTTCCAGCTCTGGATGAAAAAAAAAAAAAAAAAAAAAAAATTATTTTTCAAAACAAATTTTTACTGACGGTAAAAATATAAAATTTACCTGTGCTATGAGACTGCCAACTAAATCTTCGCCTCGCTCCACCTTTTTGCCTTGATTACTCAGAGATGATATACTCGAAGCATATTCTCTATCCGACTTGACCTTAGTGGTAAGGCACCTCTTCATAGTCTCGAGGAGCTTAATCTCAGCATCCTGCCTACCAAGCAGAGCCTCGTGGGAGGCCTGGCCCTGCAAGCTGCTGGAGAAGCCCATTTTTATGTATCCTAGATTTCCAAAATTATTTATACCTTCGTTTATGGCATGACAGGTACGTTGGTCCAGTCTTTGATTAAAAATAGCTGACGTGAGCTGCCTATTTCGCTACATGCAATGCATATAATAAAAAAAGGCAGTTGAGAATCCATCAATTGCGTGTTAAAATAGACAGACAAGTATATTTACGTAGACATTCCGATGCACACCTATAACTTGATCGGAGCTCGTTCGTTCAGCGACCATCAGGTGTATACCGATATAGATGCAACAATCTATTTCACAGCTTTGTTTTTTTTTTCGTTTTATTAATAATTAGACGTCTACCTCGTCGTATTATTACCATGCGGGGGAAAGAAGATGCCGAAACAGTAAATACCTAATAACACCAGCAATACGCAAAGTATCCTATATGATAAAAACAACTGAGTACTAATGAACACGGTAATAAAATTTAATTCTTGTCCGTCAGCTCAAGGAGCAAAAGAAAAACAACGTCGCGGTATAGGTGTATAAGTACACTGCTCTTCGTCCAATCTCGAACGAGCACTGAGAACTGAGATCAGCATTTATATTTAAGATCCAAGTATAAGGTAGGTTTAGATAGATACATACACAGCTTGTTAGGGCTGGGGGGCGACTGGCTCCGTATAATGGAAAGAAAAGGTGTGCGAGGAAGGTATATAAAAAAATAATCAAAGATACTTATCTATACACGCTAAAAACATACAAAAAGGTAATAATTAATTCTTTCACGCGTGGAGGTTTAATTGGAAAATCAGGGACGTGGACATTTCCGTATATACTCCGCGATCGGCAACTTCCCAGCCGTTGGGGCAGAAAAAATGTACAACCCAGGGCTGGAAGTCGTCCGTTTAGTTCACCATCCTCGGCTTCATCTCGGACGATCTGAAATTTTCTTTACTTTTCCGGACTAAAGGGTCATAATATGTACATATACATTATATACACTATTCATGACAGCGGCCTTGAAAATCGTAACTTAACACCATTAAGAAGCCTTTGCATGGCTGATAAACGGATTATCTGAGACTTTCTACTCTTATCTGTACTTGGGTACTTACCTGTGTGAAAAACGTAAATAAAAGTAATTTTTAAAAAAAATTCTAAACGTGTTTTTGAGATTTTGGGAGTCATTTAAAATTTTTAACTTACCACATAAATTATATGCAAATGGCAAATTTTACGCCCAATTAACAAGTCGATTAGTAAATTCCCACCTTCCCAAGCGTGCGAGAGAAAAGGCTGATTTCATGCCCTCAACATTTCCATGCTTAGAATGCGCAATTTTTTTATTTTTTATTCTTTACATGTACCCATGGCAAAATAATCGATATTTTTTCAAATGTATCGATTACCTACTTTTTGAAATCCGGATATCGGATTCTATTCGGAATACTCGGATACTACTCCGCAGTCCGTAAACCACCTCTAGCTGCAGTCCGAAGTCCACGGTCCACGATCTGCATACGTTGTGTACACATCGGTATATGGAACAACTCCATTACTCCAAAAGTTGAAAAGCAGATTGTCAAAAAATTTCATTTGGGAGTTAACTTTTTTCAAACAATATCCACATCAGTAACACTCAAACAAAATGGCTCCACGATTAAAAATATTGTCAAATGTCGTTGAGGTAAGTTTTATCTTTGGCCTCCTGTTTGTTTTCTTTTTGATTACATCTTTCAAATTTTTTTTTTTTTTGAAATTTTTTTACATATTTTTATTATTATTATTTTTTTTACAGCATTTGGCCAAATTAAATGCAGCTGTTACTGGTCATTTATATGGAGTCATGTACGAAGAAACATTGACTGTTTTGACTTTCAGCATCAATCCAGTTGACGATGATGACAATAAAATTATACCAATTGATCTTCAACTTTGCATGCCAGCAGAAGTTGATTTGTTTGGGATTTTATACGTTGACCAATACAAACAAGACATTCCTGATGCATTCAAGGTAAATTTTTACTTTTAATTACATATGTAACTCTGTCTGACACAAAAATAAGTGATTACTTTTTTTTTCACATACTGCATATTTACATGTATACTAGGATATTGATGTCACTGACAATCCTTTGCTTATAAAATATTCTCTTGATGCCGCTGATATTCTTGCATTTTACTACATCCACGAAAAATTGGAAGCCATGAAGTATGAAATCATTAGTGAAGAAGATTTATGGAAAAGTTTTTGCTACATAAGGCTGCAAGCAAGTCTTCCCTTTATTTCTGAAAAAGTTTCAGTTCTTGACAATCTAACAGAAACCAGGAAAAAGGTTTGTTCATTTTTATATATTCACTAACTTAATGTAAGTAACTATTTTTTCACCAAAAGTTTCTGTAATCACAGCTGGCCACTGGAAAAGTTTCATTTCACTTCCTTCAAAGTAACATTTACCTACTGGGAAGTGACAGTAATAATGACGTGGAAAAAAAATCTGTGAAAGATTTATTTCAAGCTTCTAACTTGCCTGACTCAAAAATCAATAAGACCAAAAATCCGTCTTGTGTAACTGTGAGATTTTAAAATTTTCTTTGCATGTTGTAGAATCGCTCCAACACAATTCTTATAACTATCTATTTCTAGGATGCCATAGAAGCTGGTATGTTTCTAAAAATGTCAGACGACGCAAATCATGAAGAAAAAATTAAATTTGCTCCAGTTGTACAACACATAAAACGTAAGTTAATTATTTATCCCCATTGGAATAATAATTTTCGTTATTAGTGTGTCATCTTAACCCGGACAGGTTAGAGAGACTAATAAAAAGTATTTATTACCACTTGTAGAATAAAAGAGTTAATCACAAACTTTTTTTTTCGTAGGGCCAGTAGAGTATTACCAATTTAATTTGAAAATTGATACACTGTCCTTGGTTGGTTACAATATAACAATGGCACAATTATATGAAATTCTTGTGGAATCTATTTGTCGAAATTTGCGACTCATTGGTTCATCATTCGAAAGTCAACTAGGAATGGAAGACTTACAGTTACGACTTCCTGAACCGATGCATTTCCAGCCATCAGATTTTGGACATATGCTGACATTAGTATATCCTGTTGGGATGTCGACTTTGGAGACTTGTATGTTAAAATTTTTGCATTATGCATGTAGTGCGTCAAAAAAAAAAATTTTTTTTACCGTTGGAAAGCTCGTGTAACGTGTGTATGAACTCTCCATGATAAAAATTATGAATCTTTAAAACATTCTAACCCATTACAAGAAGCTGAAATTTGTATTCGATATTTATATTTTTTTTAGATGAGTATCGCAAAAGCTTGCATCGTCGATTGGCCTTGGATATGAATAGGCCTTATTTTAGAAAAGGGAACGCTGTAAAATTCACAAGTGATTATGAAAAATACGAATACTTGATAAATCCTCATGAAGCTGTCACTAATCCCGGAAGTAAGAGTTCAAAAAGCCATCTAGTAGGTTTATTTTAAAATATTTACTGATGATTTTGAAATATTTTCCTACAGATCATGATATCAGTATTGTTAAAGGCTCATATGCTTATCACCATTACATGCAAGATAGATTTGATGACAACGGTTGGGGGTGTGCATACAGATCACTTCAGACTATTGTTTCTTGGTTTAGGTACTTATAATATTTTAAAACTAAAGCTCAACACTGCATATGCATGTATAATAAAATAGTTTTTTAATTTTTTTATTTCCATAGGCTTCAAGGGTACACAGATAAAACAATACCTTCTCACAAAGAAATTCAAAAGTGTTTGGTAGACATTGGTGACAAATCATCAAATTTTGTAAACAGTAGACAATGGATTGGATCAACTGAAGTAGGCTTTGTTCTTGAGTCGCTTTTTGATATTCCAGTCAAAATATTGTGTGCATCTAGTGGAGATGAAATGCCTATGCTGGTTTCTGATTTAGCACATCATTTTAAGACTCAAGGAACACCCGTAATGATTGGTAAGTGTTAATGCTTGCTGTATTTGTTGGTTTGTCGATTTTCTCAAAAACAACACAAAAAATGTACGTGGTTTTATATTTCTGGAGGTACGATATAAAAATGAATTTTTTCAGGTGGTGGTGTTTTAGCTCATACGATCCTCGGTGTATCTCATGACGAGTTTCACGAAAATGTGCAATTTTTAATTTTGGATCCACATTACACTGGACCTGAACACTTGGCCACTATTGTAAGCAAAGGTTGGTGTGGATGGAAGAAAAAAGAATTTTGGAAAAAAGATGCATTTTACAATATGTGCCTTCCTCAGAAACCCAAATGCATTTGATTGGTGAAATAATCAAAATGAACGAATTTATACTGTAAATAATTTTGTACCATTTGTGATGTTTTTTTGATTGTTTTTATCCGGTGTTTGAAATTTAAATATTAAATTAATTTGCTTTTATAACATGCGTCAAACATAATCCATTATCCTAAAAATGAAACTCATCTATGGTAAGTATATTATTCCACATTTCAGCCACTTGTTGAGCTTACTGTCTTTCTACAGATCGCGTGTGCAGTATATGGGCGTAGGTGTGACGAGTCCGCACAATAATGATGATAGCTTAAGCAGCTGCAACATTAGTAATATTTATTGTTTAACTTGAACTAAATTTATTTGGTGTTTTTAAGAAAAGCGTATTGTTATATTTATTATGTACTTTATTATAAATACGGTGGTAATTTAATCTGATTGTAAATTTAGTTAAAAGATTTAATTTACGTGAGCCGCGCGATTTAAAAATCCTCCAGTGAGAAAGCTTACCTTACAGAATCAGCAAATAAGATAACAGGCTTTTAATTCGTCAGATCAAAATTACAATAAAGACATGATAGAAGTTTTTATGACTTCTATCGCAAACAAAGCCATTACAATTTATAAAATTTATTCAATATTTATTGAAATTTCCAATCCCAAGCCAGAAAATGTTCAGATAGTTATACGAAAATCAATTACGCTCAACTTGGATAAACTTTTCTTTGTGCTTTATTTAAGTAATGTATACAATGTGAAAAATGTCAAATGACTAGCGATGAGGTATATACGAAATATTTATTCATATTTCATATACTGTGTCGTGACATCGAAACAATCAACGTGATAAAATTTGTTGAGATATTTCCATCTCTTATACTTACTCCGTTTCATTGTTAAGTCGTCCAAGCAACATACGTACATATTTACTAGAGTGCAATTGCCGATCATCCGTTTTACCGTCACGTTACCAGAACGCTTCGACACACCACAGATGTTCACACGGAATCACTTTTTTACACTTAATTATCGCAAACAAATAAAAATATACCTTCCTATATAGGTATACACTTACAATAAATGTAGCCAGTCTGGAGGACTGGAGTGACGCTGTGACGGCAGTGATTCATTTTCTATAGACTCGTGTACGCGAACAAATTATAATAACAGGCTGTCGAGCACTTGTGTGGATATAAACATGTCTCGTTTTTCCGATTTGGCAAACGAGATTAGAAATGTGGTATCCGACGCTATCCCGGATCCTCCACGAATCGCGCCCACAATAAGCATCGACGCCAATAACGATCTCGATCGGAAAATCCCACGTTCCAAGAACTCGCAAGACGATCGACCGAGTGATAACAATAGCAATGATGCTTCGACGACGACGAACACTGTCAATCCCGACGACGACGATAACGACGAGGATTCCACCGCCAGTAAGAAAACAAACAGCCCAAAAGTCAGTACAAACAAGCCAAAGAGAGCGTCAAAGCAGAAAAAAACTGCCAATCCCAGTATTAGTTACAACATCGTCAATTCCCAGGATATTTCTATCGGGCCTAAGATTAAGTACGTGTACAACCTCAACAACAACAACATACACAACGTGAAGGGCTCGTCCGTGAATAATGATAAATTTGAGGCAGAAACGAGCGAGCCCAAAGTGGTGAGGGACATGTTGCCTCACATCAAAACTTTGAGCACCAGTCAATTGGAAATAACAAAGGAGGACATGCTCCAAGTGAAAACTCACATGGGCCTGGGTTGGAAGCAAGTGGCCAAGTGTATTGGTTACTCCAAGGGCCAGATTGAACAGTTTTCGGACAATTACAAGCGCATCGACGAAACGGTGTATCAATTGTTGCTGGATTGGAAACAGTCGTGCCCTAAAAGTGCAACTGTCGGTCGTTTAATCACTGCCATGTGGTCGTCGGAGGAGTACGATTGTGCCGAGATATTGGCAGCTGCCCATGTCAATACTCATCATCATGATAAATGTTGAAATTCCTGTATATATAAGTGAGATTATATGTAATGTTTCATGCGCGAACGCATAATATATTGGCAGTCGAAATCGCACTATGGTGATAAAATATAAATTAATTTTTAGAATATGTATATAAGGTACTTGCACACATAATATTCATATAACACATGAATAAAAACAGTTTGGTTGTAACATATTTTTAATGTGTATTTTATATAAATATATCGATTTTAACACACAATATATATATATACATCTTTTTGACCAACAATTGTAATATAATAATTTTTTATGTAATATATTGATTTGCTAGTATATGTATATATAACGAACAACTCTGTGAGCTCAAAACGTGATTTTTGTAAAAAGCAATTAAAGAATATTTTTGAAATAAACGTTATTGTACATTTTTCAGCAAAATTGTATTATTTTAATTTCACGTAAGTACTGAAAAGAGTAAAAGTATATCTTATTGTCCGACAATTATAGCTCAGTTTTTTCAAATTCATCATCATCCGTTTCTGGAACTTCCATGTTATCTGAAAATTCCTTGCAGAATTCGGTACAAATGCCGTCCTTTTTCAGTTTTTTCTCTATCTTATTTTTCACGTAATCAATAAGATCGTATTCAGTTTCGTTGATGATTTCGTCGCACTAAAAAATACGTAATGGACAACAATTAACAAAAATAACTGAGAAAAATAGCAATAAATTTTTTTTACTTACGTAGTACTTAAGACTTTTGTTTAAATCATCGTCTTGTACGATATCCACGTCACTCATTATCGGATTGAGTTTACCATCATCAGTCATAAGTTTCATTAGAGTCAATTTACCATTTGACTTGTACGTGGCTCTAACATAATCATCCATGATTTTACATATCTCGTCAAGTACACCAGAGAGATATATTTCTGAAGTGGACTGTTGAGTCTTCAAAATTTAAAAGAAACCATTGAAACAAAAAGAAAAGTGAAAGGATGAGAAAAGTTCGTGTGTACGAGTATTTACCGTTTTGTGCTCTATATTTCCTTCCGAGTCTATGTTGTAATTTCCAACTTCAATTTTCTTTTGAGGATCGATTAGACCGACTTTGTGCAAAAATTCATCTGTGATGGTTCTGCAAACTTTTTTAAAAATATGCCCGTCACGAGTGAACCCATTTTAATCCATCTTTGAAGTAAAAAATAAAAATAAGGAGTGTAAAACAAAAATTACTACATACCCAGACACTTCACTTGCTTAAGCTTAATATCGTGCGTGGAGACCGAAATGACGAACAGGGCCAGAACGATAAATAATTTCATGTTGCCGGAGAGATTCTTGGATCGATGATTTATTGAAAGTCTTCCGGTATCACAGTCTAATATATATTATTGAACGGAAAAAAAAAGAAAAGAAGTGCGTGCCGAGCCAAAAATGCACTTGGAGAGAATAAGTATACGTGGATTAGAGTTTTTTGAGTTTACGCATGATCGTCCAACTCTTAAATATATCGACATCCACGTGTCCCCGCTTGAGGGCTTATTAAAATAATACCGACAAACGATGTTTCGTATTGTGTACACATTAATCGTTGGCTCGCCTATCGTGTGTCTTTCGTGACGTGTAAATCGTCTACACGATGTTCTTCCGATTGCTTTCTCTCTCTTTCGCCACCTCGAGTTCTACTATTCGTGGATTTGGACAGAAAGCTGTTACCGGCTATCATACCGCAAGCATTTAAATATACTTGTATACATGTATGTACAAAAAATACTTCTTTTAGTTAAGTAAAATTATATAACTTTTATGTTATCCACATGAATGTGTAATTTAACACCTTCAATTTCAATGTATAAATTCATTTATGATAATACATTTATTATCCATTGTTGCTCAGTTTTTGTCACACTGTATACTGCCAATGACAAATGTTACGCATTGCGTATGCGTACACATTTTTTAATTCATTTGACGCGAGTCGCCGGTTCAATAAATTTGGTGCACCGATCACCGAAATACTGCGCGTATAAGTATATATCTGTTGTAGATTAATCGGACTTTTATGTTGCCTGTAGTAAGTATTATTACGATTTTCAAATAGACAAATACACTGAATTACACGATTGTTTGCGTAATCTGACCAATCGGTATTTTTTTCTCAGCAAATAATAATAGTCCTTTCGCACATACTTTGTATAATTATACGATCATAGCTACGGGTATTGCACATCGCAAAAGCTATTTAAATGCCCAAAGAAAAAGGATATTTATTTTCATAAACGTATCAATTACAACAACCCGGTAAATGCCAGAGATTCTGGTAAATGTGGGTATGTGAGGTACGTATTGTCAATTGTCAATTCAATTTTAAAATTTTTTATTGGCAAAACTTTGAAGTTGTACAGCNCGGTAAATGCCAGAGATTCTGGTAAATGTGGGTATGTGAGGTACGTATTGTCAATTGTCAATTCAATTTTAAAATTTTTTATTGGCAAAACTTTGAAGTTGTACAGCCATAGCGCAGTTTGTCTATTGTCATATTTGTCATCGCGTATAGAGAGCGTATCAGCGCCATCTAGCGTTTCGGATTTCGCGGAGTGGCTCAAACTATTTTCTAGGGGAACCGTCTTGAAAAAGTCCCTAGATTCTAGGTATTTCCGGCAGCAGTAAATCACTAGGTATATATAGATATATGGTTGGTCAAAAATCGCTGACGTACCGTGTGTTCCAGTAGCGCTTACCGACAACTTAAACATGACGCAAGATATCGTAAGACATAATTAAGTTGTCGGTAAGTTGTCGGAGAGCGATACTGGAACACTCCCGTAAAGGGTCTATTTGCGTGCTTAGATAAACGCTCGAGATTGATGGTCACATGCACACTAAAAATACTCAAATTTGTCAAAATGTAACAAATGTCACCCACATATGCATCGCGTTGGTTGTAATGGTTGTATTGCGTAATGTAATGCGTATATCAATAAAGCACGCAACTTGACGCAAGTACCCCCAAAGCTCGTCGGCGATCAAAATCATCAAAATTGCGTTTGGATCTAGCGCCATCTAGCGTTGCTAACCATTCTGTGCTGACGGTCGACATTTGATAAGAGAGAGACCTGCAGTTCAAGTGAATGAGCCAACCATCGGTACAGCAATTAAAACATCGGCCCTGCTGTACCGACAGCTGACTCACGCCACCGACCGATGAAATAGTTGCGTGCTTCGATCTTCGATATACGTATAATACACCAACGCAATGCATGAACGGGTGACATTTGTTTAATGACATGTGTGGATGACATTTGACAAATTTGAGTAATTTTAGTGTGCTAGTGCAATGTGCATGTGACCATCAATCTCGAGCCGTATTGCGTTTATCAAAGCACGCAAATAGACCTTTACGTCTGCGATTTTTGAGTGATTTTTACCGACTATATATCTATATATGTTCCTAGTGATTTACTGATGCCGGAAAACCCTAGAATCTAGGGATTTTTCAAGACGGTTCCCCTAGAAAACAGTTTAAGCCACTCCGCGAAATCCGAAACGCTAGATGGCGCTGATACACTCTGTATACGCGATGACAAATATATCTATATGACAATAGACAAACTGCGCTATGGCTGTACAACTTCAAAGTTTTGCCAATAAAGAATTTTAAAATTGAATTGACAATTGACAATACGTACCCCACATACCCACATTTACCAAAGTATTTGGCGCTTACCGGTTTGTTGTAGTTTTTTCCTGCAAACGTAGCCTTGCCGCTTGCCCAACTCTAAAAAACATAAACACGTACAAGGTAAGGCTAGGTGCCGGTGCGTGGCGCGTGTGTTCTGCTACACAACCAGCTGATATGATGCGTTTACTCGTATACTTCATCAGGAGTCTTGTTATTGTTGTTAATTAATAAATAAAAAAAAAGGAACCCTTAATCACAGTGGTTTCAGTGTAGTTTTTAATGAAAAAATGGCGTTCTCGGCTGTGTGCAAGATATCGCGGGTCCTTCGAGTGCTGCGTCTCTCCGGGGAGTCGTTCTCGTGCAAATCGAGCGTCCCTCGGTTAAAGGAACTAACACCATGGAGTTGGCAGAAACCAAGGCTCCTGGGTACGCAGGCCAAACTGCCTCCAGTCGAGAGTACGGAACAGCCAAAGAAGAAGAAGGGCCTCAAGAGCCCGCAGATAACGTTGATAATGCCGGACGAGAGCGTCGTGATGGAGAGCCTCGAGCAGGCGGAGAAGCTGGCCAAGCGCAGGAAGCTCAAGCTCGTCAAGATCATAGACTTTGACACGAAGACCGAGAGGCCGCTCTACCGGCTCATGTCGAACTTGGAGCTCTTCCAGGAGGAGAGCAAAGCCAAGATCGAGAAGAAGAATCCGAGCCCTGATGCCCAGCAGAAGTCAAACCAAAAGCTCTTCATCATCTCGTCCAAGATTGCCGAGAACGACTTACGGGTCAAGCTCAGGCAGATGCACAAGGTGCTCAGGAAACAGATAGAGATACGGGTCTTCATTTCGCAGGACGGAAATCCTACCAGAGCTGTAATTATGATCTTTCATACCCTTTCTGTTTCTTTTGTGTATGAAATTTAAGTTTTTTTTTTTTTTTTTTTAAGGACAAGTTAGCAGAGCACATTGAGGAGAATTTGAAGGAGCGAGCGAGCAAGAAATCTCAAACGAAAAAAGCAACCACTTTAAAATTACATTTTGTACCAAATCCTTGTCAAGAGGGTGAAGACAGTGATTTGAGTGAGAGTAAAAGTTGTGAGAACAATGATCCTGGTAGTAGTGATGAAAAGACGCCTGATTTAATGAAACGGGACACAGCAGCAACAGCAGTCAAGTAGGAAAAGTCACAGGAAATGCATATTGGGCTCATTAAAATTTTCACTTTCGTGTGAGTATTTATTGTTACATCAATGAAATTTTATATCTTACTTTGACGTCAATTTATTATTAATGTAAATATTTACAGGAATAAATCGTGCTACAAATAAATGTATAGTAATGTATATAAAAGGAGCGTATTTAACTTTTTGTTTCAAGTTATTGATATGTGTCCTAGTGCTAGACTAGTTGAAATGTGATCAAATTTTCTGAAAACTATTATTACTATTTTTTATTTTCAAATGTTACCATTTTTTTCATTTTAGTTGAAAGTTATACGTTTTATAATATCATGTAGGATACTTGCGCGTGCTTGTATATATTTACATTATAAAATTCACGAAGTGATTGTTGCAAATGGAAAAATTAACGTTGTTACACTTATTTTTGTACAAAGTTGATAGAAAAGTTTTTTAATTGGTGCACAAAGTACTTGGCAAAAAATAAAAGTATTAACTTTTAAGACAATTCACTACAGCATGTTAAATTGTGCCGACTGATTTGATGAATAAAAAATAAAATAAAAAGTCAATAATTTTGAACGTTGAAAGAGACATGAAACTTGAGTGAGTCAAGAAAAAGTCATGAACGAATCATTACAAATTAATATACATCTAACGTCAATATCAGCTAATAATGCATAACGTGCCAATTATACTCTCGTATCAATAAGAAATGAAAGGTAAAGCAGACAAAACGATGAAACAAATAACATTTAATTGCAACATTTCTAAATGAGCTTTAGTGTGCGCATTGCTTGTTTTTTTTTTTTTTCACGATTTGCAAATTCCGCTTAGCAGGGCGGCAATCGACACTCCTCGATCTCCGTGAGGGGTGGGCAGGGCCTCGCTCGCGACCCCCGATTCCCAGCCGCCGCTACGTATCTCGTCCTCCAGCGCTGTGCCGCGCCGCAACTCGCCGAACAGCTTGTCCAAGCACTCCACTCACTTACTCGACACTGCACCAATTCATCTACAACCGATTACAATAAAAAAAAATTTTTTTTCATCCTTTTACTCGATTCTCAATTTACTGAAACCTATTACCTTCTGCTGCAGCAGAGCTTCCATCGTTGCGATCAAGGTTCCTCAGGTCGGACGATTTTTGTTTGTCTGAAACATTTTGCCTGTATTTCCATTTGCTCTCTTCCAGTGACGCATGAAAATTCCACTTTCCGTTTTCAATACTTACCGCACTCTGGCATGACTTTGTGACACTTTTGTCTGCGTATCAATTTCGTAGGGCAAGCTTTTCCTCCGTTTCGCGGATAAGCCTGCAACAAAAAGTAACCCCGTAACGTGAAGGAGAGTTTGGGAGGGGAAAAAAAAAAAAAAAAAAAAACCATCCTCACCAAGATTTCACGACTCATGGTTCTGTAGCCCTTGCAGCCAAAGCACGGCGACCAGGAGCCCCACTCCGTAACTTTACAATGCGACTTTTCGTACGCCGAATTCGACTTGGTCTCCTTTCGATGCTTCTTTTTCTTCTTCTTCTTACGCTCGGCGTTTTCCGTACTCTCCTCATCGGTGTCCTCTTCGTCTGTTGGAACGAACAACTGATGTCATACAAATAATACCCAACACCACAACAAATACGCCCCTTGCAAGTGTCCCATCGAGTTTTTGTACTAATTGTAAGTGTTGAAACCACAGTATATATTTGATTTACTGTTGTTTTTTTTTAATCGTAAAAAATTATATACGTGTGTGTGCGTGTACATATATAGAGTTGGTTAACGTTATGTAGGTAAGTAGAAAATTTAAAAAATGTGGAAAAAATCACCGCATTTCGTGCGCTTAGCCTTGATTATTTGCTGCTCCCCGGTATACGGTATATTGTAAGTGACAATGCCGCTCAGCATTAGTTTGTATTTTCTTAAATTCGCATAATCCACTGCCAATCGTACATTGGGTTAGTAAGCATATACAAACATTTAACTTTTTTCTTTTTTTTTTTTTCGTATACATATACATACATATTAATTAAATCACAATAATGTTATTATACAATCAGCATCAATGATACATATTATTGCGTATGATTGTGCGTAAGTCGTCGACGACATAATTAAAATTATGTATGAAAACAAAAAAGCAATCGAAAGGATCGAGTGATAAGTAAGTATGTACATATACTTATTGTTTCACGGCGTGATAATATATATGTATGAGGGGGTGAGAGCGTACATTATATGTATACGTATATAGCGATGAAAGACTCGGATGATTTGGCGAGCCAATGGAGACGCGTGAAAAATGTGAGAGAGAAAAAAAAAAAAAAAACAAAATGTGCCTACTTACAATTAGTCGAAAGCAAAAGGAAAAGAAAAAAAAAAAAAAAAAGACGACTCACGAAAACTGAGACAGGTGTCCTGGCACTCCTGCTGGGTGCGGAAGTTGTTCATGTTGCCCTCGCAGCCCGCGTAGTGGAATATGTCGCACTTGGCCCCGGGCTTGTCGTAATAGTAGCGCAAGCTGTTGTCGTTGTGCCCGTCGGGACACCGGCCGGGCTGCAGCGGCTGCGAGCAAATCACTGCGATGCGCCATAGTATACGTACATATACAATTGTCATTAAATTGCACAAGTGGGGGTAGGAGGGGAAAAAAAAAACAAAGGAGCCAGTGTACCCTCGATTTGTTCTCTGGTGATGTCGCAGGATGCCGTCTCGGCTATGCAGGTCGTCGACTCGAATTGGCACTCGTAGAGGCTGAGGTCCCTGTCGGGGCTCGTGGCCGGCTCGTCCCAGCCGGGTTTTATTTGGCGCGAGCGGCTCTTGGTACCGAGACCGCAGGTTACCGAACACGGACTCCACAAAGACCACTCGGTGTACCTCTCTCTCACGCACTTCTGCTAGTTGTTGTTGTTTTTTTTTTCCCAAATTTAATACACAAACAATATGAAACGTTATTATATTTTCATACACCATAATGATCAATTTATCGCAACGTGTGGTCGTACACCTCAACGAGGAACCAGAGATCCACAGCGTTATTAGAAACATTTGTATACATAATTATGGGTTTGCGTTATCATCACAGTTCAATATTAGTGGTGGTTGGGTTTAGGGTGAATAACGCAACAATAATCCGATCAAGCGCTTAGTCCAAATTATTTAACGTTTCAGAGGTTCTTGATCGGATCGTCCCCAAAGCCATAAAAACGCTCATAGATGGTGTGATAATGGCATTGATTTGATCGCTAAAGTAAATGATGACTCGATGGAGGAGGAGGAGGAGGAGGAGGAGGAGGAAAGTTGTTCGTACAATTTGACGAGAGAATCGAGTTTGGCGTTAATCACACACGCGCGTTAATTTGTCATCTTTCCCCCCGATGCCCATGAATCCACGGTGTTATTGACATTAAGATGTTATGCAACACGTAGGTATACAATACATAGTTTGTTGTGAGAAAGAAAAATAGAGCTCGACTGTTAGTAATAATCAAGTGGCACACATATTAATTAGCATCACGTTAACATGTAATGATTGTATAATATGTATATACATACGGATACCTTTTTACGGCGCCTTACAAAAGTAGCGGTGGTATAATCAGGCCGTTCGAGCTCGTAGCGTCTACCGACGTTCTCCGCCCCCACCATATCATCGTCATCACCATCATTATCATCATCATCATCATCATCATCATCATCATTATCATCATCACCACCACCGCCACCACCACCGTCGTCCGAGGACGGTGGCTCGTCGGTCGGAGGCTCGCTCGAGGCCTCCTCCTCGGTGTGCTCGCTTACCGTGACGGCGTCGCCCGTGGTCTCCTTGTCGGGCTCGCCTCCCGCGCACTCGGGGTTCCCGCAGTCCTCGGTCTGCCGGAGCTCGGCCCCCGGGTAGAGGTGCTGGCACTGCTTGCGCCGGCGCTTGCCCCGGAAGGTGCGCTCGCGAGTCTTGCTCTCGGGGCCGCAGGAGCGGGAGCACGCCGACCACTCGGCCCACTCGGTCAGCGGGCACTTTTCCGGGTCCGGCTCGCTGTCCGGGCTGCCCTCGGTCATTAATATCATACATCGCTCGCGTCATATTTTTCGTTACTTTCGTTACAACTACAGTTTGTTTTTTCGCAGGGCATTCAATATTTTTTTTTTTTTTTTTTCTTTCTCATCATTAGGTACTTATTCGTGAGTAAAAACCAGTTGAAAAAGTAAATTCCCTGAACTCGTGCACAATGGGTTCGTAAAAAAAAAAAAGAAAAGAAAAAAAAAGGGAAACAATTCTTGAGCGCATTGGTAAATAAGCAAAAGAAAAGAAAGAAAATCCCACTCACCATTTATCGCTCAATTGGCAGGTCGCCTCGTCCGTGAGTCGCGACTCGCAGCGGCGCTTGGCCGCGGACTTTTCGTTCTTGTATTGGCGCGTTCTCCGCTTGACTCCTGGGCCGCAAGTCTCGGAGCACTCGCCCCAATCGCTCCACGCGGTCACCCTGCACGCCTCTTATATATGTAACAAGTAATCACAGGTAAATCGATGCCGCCACCTCCCCGATATTCCTCCCAATGTTAAATCGGCAAACTACACATATATATACGCATGCCAAAAAAAGAAGCGAAACAAAAACAAAAAAAAAAAAAAAAAAAAAAAAAAAAAAAAAAAAAAAAAAAAANTCCTGTCTGCAATACTTGCATAATTTACCTTGGGTGCTGTTTTTTGCATTTTATTGGACGGTTCATCAGTCACAACAGCAGCAGCAGCAGCAGCAGTAGTTGCAGTTGCATCGTCCTCGAGTTCGACCGTTTCTTCTTCCACAACTTTGCCGATCGTCCTCTTTTTGTTTTTGAATATTTCCTTGACCAGCTGCTCGTCCAGTTCCTCCTGCTCCTTTTCTGTTCTCTGCCTCTCGGCACTCGTGTCGTACTGCTCTAGCATCACATCGTAATCAATCGTCTGCTGCCGCCTATTGAGATCTTTTAGGTCCTCGAGAGACTCCAAGAGATCCAATTCCTGTTTCGACTGCTGAGTACGCTTCTCCAGGAGCTTCATGGGGTTGGTGGCCTCCTCTTCCTTCTCCTCGTCCTCCTCGCGTTGAGCTTGCTCCTCGGCCAGTTTGAGAGCCATAAAGTTCCTTGTCGCGCCAGCCTCGATCTCGTAGTCGGTGTTCTTTGGGTCCGTCTTGAAGGATATCTCCTGCAGGCACCTGGTGCACTTTATGTAAAACCTGTAGATGCGAATTCCCAGGTAAGTGTCGCCCTCGACGTCCTCTTTGCGGGCGTTGAATTTTTTGCCCTTGTATATGTACTCTCCGCAGGTTTTGCACCTCATATTGAAGGGGGCCATCAATCGAACCGTGTATTGCCGATTGCGGGCCAATTTCATGCGCGGAATCTTTGACGGATCAAAGTCCGGTGGGTAGTATTTCTGCAGGATCAAGATGAGCATGTTGATTAATCAAACGTATAATTTAAATTGAAAATTATTTACGGTAGGCACATAACCTAACTAAAGAAAAAAAAAAAAGAAAATACAATAAAATGAAACAACTGTGCAGTAATGGTAAAAGCATATACTTAGTAGTAAGTATACCAACGTTGGACTTGAGCTCCGACTCGAGGTGGACGGTGTCCCCGGTGAGGGCAAACTTCTCGAGACCCCGGCTGGCGGGTTCGTAGCTCCGCCAGAAATTGTAGCCAGGCGAGTGGGATACTCCCAGGACCGTGGGAAACACGGCGACCCATTCCCTCCTCGGAAAGTGCTACACGACGACGCAAACACACACACACACAACGCATCAAAGTCATCGTCAATTGTATACATGTTATATGATGAGTAACCTTGGGATGGGTGTAACGGGACCAGAGGCCCTCGAAGGCGAGCTCGTACTTGGCCTCGTCGCAGGCGCAGCACTCCGGCAACACGGGACCCGGGTCGTCGATGCTTGCCTTTGGGTCCTGGCAGAAGCGCTGCTCGAGACTCCCGTCCATGAACCAACGCGACGGCGACTCCATTATCGACACCCTGGCGTTTTTTTTTTTATATATATATAACATATTTTTATGCACTTGTCTCTTTGGTCACCCTTTTTTTTTTTTCGCACTATACATATGTATAGACGAAATGCATGGTAATACATAGAACGCACCTAAAGGTGACGCAGCCGCTGCCCTCGTCGGGACTGATCCAGTACGTGGAGATCTCGTCCTTGAGCATCTGGGACGTCTGGACCACCGAGTCCGGACAATCCTGGGAAAACTGGCTCAAGTCGACGTCGTAGAGCTCGAGCCGGCCGTGACCGAGCGAACGATTCTCGTTCTCCACCGTCAGGTAGAACCGCGTGAACTTAACATCGGCATCGTCCGATCTTACCGCCACTGGCGACAACATTATTGTTTCGTTTGTTACACATACGCTTGGGAATGAGCATATCATAGTTCATCGTCTATTTGAGACAAGGGGAGATGATGATACAAATTGCGATACGCAAGTACGTATACGTACACGTAAAAAAAAAGGGGGGGAAAGGGTCTCTGGCTGCTGCGATACTTTCTTTTCCTCTCTCTTTTTTTTTTTTTTTTTTTTTTTTTTTACATATATTGTGCAGTTTCCATGAACTAGTCTCGCGATGATTATCATCATTATTACACGTGTTACAACAATACCTTGTACGTGACCATTTGCACTGTTATGTGGATCGTATACGTATGTACATGTGAGGAGGTACCGACTGTCTTCTAACGATTTATGGCTTCGCTCTCGCACGGATTACGGGTCTTCGTTCTGCGTATTCGTCACTTGCAATCTTACCTTATTTATACACATACACCTTACCCGCTACATATTATAGGTACACGTTAATTGTCGGCTCACAGATGTACAAACCCCGCGCTTCCGTGTGTGATTCAATGATACGTAAAATATCATACACGGGCGATGTAGAATTGTGTGCACGTGTGATTTATCGAAACGACTCTGCGTGATCGGCAATTGATGACGAGGCGAGCGCTGTACCACACAGGAAGAGGCAATCGATCGATATTGAACCAATAATTGATTTGACCAGCGAGTTGGTCGCGCAAACGCCGGATTGACGCGTTTATAAATCTATATTTTCGCGAAAGCAATTTGTAGAGGGTTAAATAAAAAATAAAATAAAAAATACGAGTCACAGACATCCGAAAGTGACACGGATTCGTCGTACAGGAGTGTTCCGTTGCTATGTGCATCGTCCAACAAAAGCCCCTCATTAGGACTATAGGTCGTTAACTGTGGGGTCGTCGTTACCCCTGTTTGTTTCGCTCCATCCCTCTCGAGGCCCTCTCTCGACTGTGTTCTTTCGCCATGTAAAACGCTTTAATCGTCGTTTAATTCTAAATGCAAGTCTTTTGTTCTTTTATTCATCAAAAAGGACAAAAAATCAATAAAGATTCACTGAATTTATAACACCGCGCCTGTGTAAATGATTACACGAGGTATACATAATAATATATACAGGGTAAAAGTATGCGAAAGGAGAAAAGAAAGAGATGACTCACCTTGGTACTTGGTATTGGGCATGAAGCTCTGGTACTCCTCGGTCGTGTTGACCTTGAGCAGGTGAATGTGATAAGTCTCGGCGACAATGTGGGGGGCTTTTATGTCGTCCCATTTTTGCTCGCAGTGCGTCGACGCCCTCGCAACGTCCACCGCGGCCAACAGCGACAGCAGCAAAACCAGCGAGTGCCGTTTCTTTCGAGTAGCCCACATTTTCTTTTTTCCGCGACAGAGGCGAGGGAGATGTCTGTGGCTGATTTTTTTTTTTTTTTTTTTTTTTTCTCTTTGCAATATTAAGGTGTAATATATACGATGAGAGAAGGAGAACAAGCAAAAAAAAAAAAAAAAAGGGAAAATTTCCACGCCAAATAAGCCCGATCGCGTAATATAATTGAAGAACGCGGATGCGCTGGCTACGCGCCAAGAGCTGCCCTTTTTTTTTTTTCATGCAGCACGTATATATATTACACTTGTGCACAGGGGTGGGTGGGTGCCATGTATATATACGGCGCATCTGCTGGTTATGGATTTATGACGCTTAATAATCCGTTCCCTACTTTCTCCTAAAATATTCGGGCGGCACTCGAGAGAGAACGGGCAAGCCCCTTTCACCTCCTCCTGGCTCGCTCGTCCGCGGATGCCCCTCTCCCCTCCCCCGCACTCGAACCACCCACCCCCCAAAGCTCCCTCATTCGGTAATTTATTAGTTCAGCTTTTTCCTTCCAACTTTTTCCGTGGGCGCGGGGTTAATACTTTGGGGGCTCGATCCTTTTTCGACGATGCAACATCGATATTTGAAAGCGCGGGAGTGTGAAAAAAAAAAAAAAATCTTTTTTTTATTTTATATAAAATGTACCTTGATGAGTAGGTGGCGAGGAGGAAAAACTCCTCGGGATATCAGATAAATCGCCATCGACCCGAGCTCCGCGTTACACTGGGCGCGCGCATATAAATATGCAGGTATACATCTTGTGCGGCGTAAATCTTTGTGTGAGATTCCAAAATCGATATCCTCCTTACGTTCGCTTCGAAGTAGATTATTTTGCAGTTTCGAGTGTGTCGCACACACACGTGTCGTTCAAGTGTATTTTTTTTTTTTTTTTTTTTTTGTTGGTACATGATGATTTTTCTCCGCTTTCGTCGCGACTCGAAGGATGTAAATTATCCATCCGAGAGAAGTCACACAATTGCCTTTTTTTTTTTTAATCGCGTCTCATATATTTATTTTATTTTAATTTCTCTTAAGCGGCTCGGTCGTTGAAGCCGAACCGCGTGAAACACCCACGTAGCGATAATAATTAAGAGGATCAATCGGTGTGATGCCTCGCAGGCAGATACTCCGATAGAGAGAGATGCTTGACCTTACTTGAATATTAAACTCTTTTTTTTTTTTTTTTTTTTTTTTTTTCTCCTTTCATCGTGTGGCATTATCATTGATACCAAACAGTTGATATAAAAAAAAAAGGGTCCCCGTGAAAGGAGAAGATTGGATTTAATCGAATCGCGTTTACGGTGGAAAAAAAGGTGCAGCCGGGGCGAAAGAAGGCAAATGATTCGATAAGCAGTCCCGCAAAGCTCCCCTGAAATATTGCATCAACGTTCCCTCCTCAGCCCGAAGCTATTATGGTACGTATTTGCGCTGGGAAAAATCCTGCGAATAGCGAGATGAAAAAAAAAAAAAAAAAAAAATACCCAGCTCAGCGCATCATCAGCGAGAGAGAGAGAGAGAAAGCGACGGAAATTGAGCGCAAAAACACACACGAGCGCAAAATAAACTCTGGGTGGAAATTTCCATTTCTTTTTTTTGCTCCTCCCTCGCGATCAATTATCACGGTCGTGCGGAGTGTTTGAGCAGCGACTAACCTCTCTCGTCGATCCCCTCGGACCAGGGTATAATTACAAAGTTGCACGGGCGCGCAGAGGACAAAAAGAGTTAGTTTGTCGCTCCCTCGATCGACCGTTGCTGGGAGTATACTCCTGCTGTTGGGACTGTCGGCGCGACTGCAACCGGTGGCCAACACCAACACCAACAACAACAACACCCGCACTCTACGTTCATTATACTCGTGGGCATGTTGCTCATGACTCTTGATGTGGATTTATATCACGCCGTTACTTACGCCCGCAAATTGGCAATCAATGTATAATCGGTATCACTTATTCACAAACATAGCGATCGGCACGATCGAGTCCTTCTCTGTCGCGAAAACCTTGGCATTAGCGTACACACCCGCGTAATTGTAAAGACGTGAACGCGTGCATAGTTGCAGTTCCATGCGCTTCGGCGAGGAAAAGCAGCCTTTGAAAGTCGAAAAGCCGGATGAATTAAGCCGGCCTTTTTTACCCTCCCAATGTGCGCGCGTGTTTTACGTGTATAGGACTTTGGGTGTAACTTTGGCTTGTCTCGTACGCGTTTTAAGAGGTGCAGTGTATATCGGGACGCGGGCGCGATGTACGTACAATTATTACTATTATCGGGTAAGTATCCGATCGCTTGGTATTCGTGGCATAGCCGTTAATTGCGGGTACGATCAATGAATACCGATGGTGCAGCCGTACAAGGAGCTTTATACGAGGGAGAAAAACCAAAGGGAAACAAATGACGCTGTACCGATGTGCCGATCAAAGCGAATAACGATGAAAGAGCCGAGGGTGAGTCGAACAAGTATATACGAGAGCAGGATCGCGAGCGTCGACGCAGCCGGCGGTTCCCGAGGTACTGCGGTCGGGAAGCGCAGAGGCCACGGAGCGGGCGGTCGGACTATGAGATAGAGAGCCACCTTCCGAGGCCGCGTTTCCAGCTCGCGTGTGCGGTCGGTGTACGTATACACGATATAGTATATGCACATGTACGCTGTTTGTGCATCCGAGACACGGACGAAAACCGCAGCTATATATACATATGTACGCACACGCATACATGTCCATTACCATAGTACGCCAAGAGCTTGCGACGCATCTGCTGTGTGCAGTACGTATACACATCGGGAAAATCACCCTCGTAGGTACCTACAAGAGTTTACGATTTACTATTTAGTTCTTCGATTCTGTAATTATGTGTCCTCCATAATTGCATGAGTTGCACATTGTTTATATGGTCTCACATGACGATCTTTTTTTTTTTTTTTTTTTTTTTTTATTAAACTCTTGAAAACCAATTTTCTGGTGCTGATGATGTTACTAAAATTCTTCGAGGGCGAGATAAGTCGATTAATTCTTTCAGACAGAAACTGGTATATATACCTTTCAAGTTCAGCCATGCATATATATGTATTGTACGAAAAACGGTTTGTGCAGCTCGAAAAACGTCTCCCGTGTAAGTAAACCACAAAAATACAGCAGAGTATCAAGTCGTTTGCCACCGCCATGAGAACATTGAACGAACAAGTAAATGTTTGAAATGAAAAATTGCAAGAACGAAAAATCCCCCTCTCCGAGGCATTCTTTCGTGGGGACAAACGTATGAATGTGTAAACGCGCGTTAATTAGTCCGACCCCGCGCTTGACGTTAAATTGTTCTATTTACACGCCAAATGATTACGCGCCAGACGGACGATGATATTCCACAATACCTACTATATAAAGTTGCCGTAATATTACCATGTCGCTGCAAAGTCGCCCATCGTGTTGTTTCTTTTGTCACTTTCAACACACACACACACACGGCACACCCGGCGAAATTAAAAGCAACTCTCATATACCCACGCATTTTTTAACAATAAGCGAGTCTTCCTTTCTCTGTGCATTTTTTTTGTTTGTTTTTTTTTTTTTNCATTTAGAGAATCGAGAAACGGGGAGTTCCCCCGGCCTGTGCAGATGTACCCCCTTTTCCGTGCACCTCCTCTTGCACTCAACAAGCTTGAAACTGGACGAATGTAATTGATTATATTTTTGAAAAATGTCTGACACGGTTTAATTTTTTTGTCAAGCATCTTACATTAGTACTAAGGTATCTAAAAAAAACATTTTTTTTTTTTTTTTTTTTTTTTTTTTTTTTCATTTACAAAAATAGTTTGACGAGTGTGCGTTATTACCAACAAGGTCCTGCCGCGAAGCAGCGCCATCACGTCAGGTTTCCATATTACGCGCGTTGTGTATACATATGCACATGCAATAATAAATCGAGCAAATCAACAGGAGCGGAAGGCCGTCCTAATGACCGCGTGCGCTATACATACACCCATTCGACTCGTGCTCGCGATCGCCTCGAGTAGGTATTACGTTGTATTTGTGCAAACAAAAATATAACGATACGTAATTTTTAACATCCGAAATCGTTAGATGCACAATTGCGCGTACAATTCTTTATTACGTACACATGAATGATTGTAAAAGATAAGATGTTATCGTCACGGTTACATCAATAATAGTCGAATTAGTTGAAGCGCGTGCAGTTGGTCAATACGGGCCGGCACGGCTGTCTCTGGACTTTCGTCAACGGGCACATCCTCCCACCGTTTTCGGGTTGGACCTGTGATAAAAAAAAAAAAAAAAAGCCAGTTTCATCAATGGGAACAAATTAAGCGCGATAAACGAAAATAGTTCAATTACCACGATGGTTTTTTCCCGTGTCTTAAAATCACGGCAGTTCTTGCACGCGGACCACGAGCTCCACTTTGACATCTCGCAGTCGATTCTCTGACCTGCGGGATCTAACGATATGTAAATACCAAAATACACATACTTATGCATGTAATAACGGCACTTACCGTGCACAACGCAAGTCTGCGTGCAAAGCCGCTCGTCGTTGAACCTGTTCTCGTTGCCGGCACAACCGGAGTACCGGAACGGCAGACACCTGCCCTTCACCTTGTCGTAGTAGTACCTGATCGAGTTGTCGTTGTGCCCGCCCGGGCAGCTTCCCTCGTTCGCGGGCAGCATACAATAGCCTGCGAAAGACGATCACGAAAAACCGATAACATCCCCTTCCTCGGCATAACACCATATTTATATACATATAATATATATATATATATAATGTATCATCACCAACCCGGTTTGTCGGCGTGCTTGAACATCGGGTCGGTCGGTGCCTCGATGGACCTTTCGTCATCGGGGTTCGAGGCAGGTTCATCGATCACCGGCACCTCCAATCCCTCGCACGGCTCCTTCTCGTACAGGCAGCCGCTGTAGCCGTAATCCATGTCCGCGTCCGGCACCTCGAGATGGGCCCTCTTCAGGTGTTCCTGTTTACGTCATCAAACAAGATCCACCATCTTACACGCACATGTAACCCGTAACTATAATTAAAATATGGGGTTCTCGGGTATGCATATACCTTGACGGTCCTGTAGCGCAACTTGAAGCCGGTACCGCGGGTCAACGAGCACTCCGACCACTCCATCCAGTTGTTGTAGCGGTCGTCGACGCACAACTGCGAAATGTACACACATCCGTGAAAAGTAACCACGCAATACTATTATCATACGGATAATATAACAAATGGACCAACGAAATTGTCCTCGGGACAGGGTGGATTGCCACAGTCCATTTTTTCCTCGAGCACGGCCTCGCCGAACTGTTCCTCGCACTGTTGGTCGTTTTGCCTCCACACGTAGGACCGGGATCGGCCCACAATCTCCTGGCCGCACATCTTTGAGCACCTGGTCCACTCGCCCCACTCGGTCAGGGCGCAATCTTCCGCGCTCACCTCCCTCGGACTGCAAATACATACACACACGTATATAAGTGGTTTTATCGCCAAACGTATATACACAATCACGCGTATATATATTATACACCATTTGTTTTTTATCGCCTGGCAGGTCCTCGACTCCTCGAGGGGTAGGCTGCAGTTGGTGTGGTCGTAGGACTTGCCGAGGGCGCGGCTTCTCTTCGATATGCCGAAGCCACACTCGACCGAGCAGGGGCCCCACTTGCCCCACTGGCCGACGCAATCCTCCTCGGGCCGGGCCTGCTGGCAACTCCTCTCCGAGCCCCTGAGCCGTCTCAGGTGGATCCTAGCGAGGGGCCTCACGTCGTGGGTGTTGTTGCTCCTATCGTAGAACGGCGACTCGATCCCGTTGACCGGCAACGGCCAGGTCATGTTCAACCTCTGGATCACCTCCCGCGGCTCCGTCAATCCATCAAGATCCTACATTGTACACATAAGGTGTATATTATACACACCTTGCACGGGCCAATGGCTATTGTGATTCGTACACTCGCCTCGTAGAGCATGCCGTTGCGTACCCCAGCGTCGAAGGCGTAGAGGTTGAAGACCTTAGAGCCCAGCCACGTGCAGTCGGGCCTGCAGAGCTCCATCGAGTGCACACCGACGAACCAGTCGGGCGACGGATCTGAGCGTGTCCTTATTTGTTAAAGGGTGTAAAAGTAACACAGCAAAATTATTTACCATTGGCTCACCTATTCGCGCCACGAGGGACACCACGTGCTTGACGCTGCTGACCCTCAGGGCGGCGAACGATTTCCGGGTCTTGTTCTGAAAGTTCGCCCCTCGGAACTTTATCAGCGTGCCTATGCTACCCTTCTACTTAGGGGGAGGGGAAAAAATAAAGAAAAAAAAAAAAGAAAATACAATAAAATGAAACAACTGTGCAGTAATGGTAAAAGCATATACTTAGTAGTAAGTATACCAACGTTGGACTTGAGCTCCGACTCGAGGTGGACGGTGTCCCCGGTGAGGGCAAACTTCTCGAGACCCCGGCTGGCGGGTTCGTAGCTCCGCCAGAAATTGTAGCCAGGCGAGTGGGATACTCCCAGGACCGTGGGAAACACGGCGACCCATTCCCTCCTCGGAAAGTGCTACACGACGACGCAAACACACACACACACAACGCATCAAAGTCATCGTCAATTGTATACATGTTATATGATGAGTAACCTTGGGATGGGTGTAACGGGACCAGAGGCCCTCGAAGGCGAGCTCGTACTTGGCCTCGTCGCAGGCGCAGCACTCCGGCAACACGGGACCCGGGTCGTCGAGCATTACCCGTGGGTCCTGGCACACGGTCGCGTTGGCCACGTGGTACCTGAGCTCCGTCTCCTTGACGGCGACCCTCAGCTCGACGCAGCCGCTGTCCCGGGCCGGGCTCTGCCAGCCGATCGTCAACGACAGCTTGGCCAACGAGACCGGGCCGTCGATTATCCGGTTCACGCAGTACGGCCCGTTGTGGAACTTGGACAGCTCGCGCTCGCGAAGCTCGAGGCCACCGTAGCTCAGCGTCCTGTTGCTGTTCCAGATGGCAAAGTAAAACTGCGTGAACGTCACGTTCGCCAGCTTCGACCTTATCGTTACTGCAACCGATTCCCATTATTTTCATCCACACGCACAATTGTTATCATTATCATTGACAAAAAAATATGCTTTGTTCGTTTACTGTCGTAATTCGTGTTTGGGAAGTAAGAGCGCAGATCTCCCGTGGTGTTGAACACGGAGATTTTGAGCACGTAGTTCGACTCTGCCACCTCGTGGCTGGCCTCCATCCACGATATCTTGCAGTTGTCGGTCATGACGCCGATCACCTGTGCGGCCCCCAACAGCAGCACCAGGGCAGTCCTCGCCACGGCCACCGTTGTCCCCGGCATGTTTTTCTTCTCCAGACCACTCGGTTGAACGTGTAATAGGTACTCAAAGTTTGGGCGAAAAGGCCAAACGAAAAAGTTTTGTCTGATGACGCGTAGCCGAACTCGGGGTATACATTGCGCACCAACTAAATTTAGCTTCTACGCGTATAGGTACACACGCATGGGTGCGACGATGCTGCTCGCTTTTGTATAACTTTGGAGTTTCCTCTCTCGCCCCATGACAATAACAAACGATTTTTCTCATTTTTATTGGTATTGTTTTAAGTACTTGGTACGCGTTGAACTCGTGGTGTGTGTGCTCTCGTAGCTGGAAAATTTTTTCGCAAAGGTACACGCGCGCGGAAGGCCGAAGGTAGGAAAAACTTGAAGATTGTTTCAAAATCGCTCCATGGCGTCGTTCTATTAATAAACGCCTGGTATTTTTATGTGTGCACCCTCCCTGTGTAAAGTGTATATTTATATACGCAAACTGTTGTCGAAGCCCGTAAAATATTGTTGGTAAAGTATATTTTTGAGAAAAAAAATTTTTTTATTAAATTTATTGAGAGTTTTTCTTTCATTTTCTTTGCACTTCTTTGCACTGCAACGGCATAATTCATACAATTTTTTTACTGTATGTGATCTCAATTCCGATGTATCGAAAGTAACGGAGTAAATACCGGTAAAAGATTTTTTTTTTTTTTTTTTTTTTTTTTTTTTTTTTTCGGAAAAAAAAAAGAGAGAAAACAATTACAGGTAACGTAACAGCAGCAGCGTGAAACTTTGCACACTCGGCGATTCGACGAGCCCGTAAATATTTCAAATATGTAGTCGTATGTTTTTTTTTTGTTGTTTTTTTTTGTTTTCCCCCGAGCATCATCTGTCAATCTCACGTATACACCGTCACTGTCATGCAACAGCGGAAAAAGTCCCGGTCACCGAATTCAACCAATAAAATAAATAAATAAAGGCCACCTGTTCGTAGGGTCCCTTTATGAAACCAACAACATTCGAATGCCGATTCGCCGTTTCCACGCAGAACACACCGAGATAAAGGGATAAGAGCGTCCGCGTCCTTGGCTCGACTATCCCCCCCCCCTCCCTCCCAAAATCACGATAAAAAAACAGTGTGTAATGACATCCCCGCGTTTGCACCGTTGGGCGTGACTCCGTGTCCCGCCATGTCCACCCCGACGACGCTCACGTCCAGCCCGGAGGCACCGAGTGAGTTTTCACGTGTACAACCCATTACAGCACACACACGTATTATACGCAACAACGTCGTCGGCGCAGGTGGTATAAAGCCCCCGGGAATAACAAACCGGGTGCCAAGAAGTACGTCGAAGACGCTCGTGTCGGCGGCCCAACAACCCGGCAGAAGCAAGATCCCGAAGCAAGAGAAGCCGCACGAGCGGGAGGACGCGGTGACCGGCGAGTCCCACCAGAACAATGACGGGGCCAAGCAGCTACGTCAGCGGCCCGTGTCTCAAAGGGACGCCGGCAACAACGGCGCGCCGCCGCAACAGCAGCACCGACTCCTCGGCAAGTCACCGTCGTCGTCCTCGGGCCCGACGGCCGGTAACCTGTTCAGCCAGAAACGCGTCCTCGAGAACCAGTTCAAAAGCAAGAAGTTAAAGTACGTGAGCCTCAAGACCGATATCGAGGACAAGCAGGTGGTTGACACGTTTTACCATACATTAACCTTTCCTCCTCGTTGCCGATATATGTATATATATCATGTCCCTTGGCCATTCGGCAATGTGTGCCAATAATGCCCCGGTGATGTGTATAGAAATCGTGCGAGGCGACGTTCGAGGAGTTGGTGCTGTTGCGCGAGCGCGTGCTCGCCGCGGGCTGTAAGGACCCGGGTAGCCTCGAGGGCCTGGCTCCTCTGCCGAGCTGGTCGAGCAAGCAGCTGCGATGCCACAACAGCGGTGCTCCGCAGGGATCTTCGGAGCCACCCTTGGACGAGCAGAGCTTCGTGGCGCGGCTGGAGACCTGCCTGAGGGTGACCCTCGACTCGGTGCTCGGCTTTTGCGACGAGCTGCTCGAGCAGCGCTCCGGGGAACTCGACCGGATGCTCGAGCTCAACGAGAGCACCTCGTCCATCGGCACTGGGGACCAGCCCGCCACCAGACTCATGTCGGTTATTTGACACATTTTTGTTGTACACGAGAGCCATGGGACCCTAATCGGTCGTCGTCGTGGTTGTCTGTATAGGCTGCTCAAGAAGAAGCTGAGCGATCACGTGGAGCACTGTCGGATGGAGAAGAGCGAACTGGAGGCGCGGCTCGAGGAGACCCGCCAGGAGCAGTCGGGCCGGCTGGCGGAGCTGGTGCGGAGCACGAGTTACTTCTGGCACGAGTTCCAGGCCCACCAGCAGGAAAAGCACGCCGAGCAGCAAGGATCGTCGGCGGTGGCGGCTGCGTCGTCGTCGTCACTCGCGGTAACCATCAGCGCCAACGCGCAAAAGGGTAACGGTGATCAGCAGCAGCTGCTGCGGGTCGAACGGAACCGGAACATGAAGGCCCGGGTGAGGCTGCAGGAGCTAGAAACGGAGTTGCGCCAAGCCCAGGAGACCAACAAGCAGCTCGAGGCCGCGCTCAAGCTGAAAGAGGTGGTCTGCGAGCAGAGGAGCAAGGAACTTACCCGGGGACAGGGAAAAGTCGACCGGCAAAAGGAGGCCTTTGAGACCAGGTATGCACAATTATCGCTCGTGGATACGACATTGGGTGTTGGAATCAACGTGGGTACGATGCTTTCGCGCAGGATGCACAAGCTGAAGGAACAGCTGGATCTCAAGGAGAGCGAGAGCAAGGCGGCGGGCGAGCGACTCGCCGCCGTCGAGGGCATGCTGGAGAACGAGAGGCTCGCGAGGTGAGAGTGTCCGTCGCGAATTGTTCATCACTATTGTTATGAATGTCTCGTTTGTATAAATCTGTGGGGTTTCTTTTGCGTTCGCATCTATAGAGAGGCGACCGACGAGGAGTACCGGGAGTTGAAGGCGAGGTACAAGACATTGGAAGAAAAGTGCCAGCAGCTGCTCGAGATCCAGAACAGGGCCAACCCAGATGATTCAGGTATACTTCTTTGCGGTACTACCTGCGTTAAAAGTGTAAATCTTGAACGAAATTTCTGTCGGATCAAAAGACAACCAGCAGCAGCACACGGAGTACGAGATCCAACTCTTTGGGGAGCTCAAGGAGGCGCAGAAGACGCTCGCCGAGAAGGAAGAGCTGATCAGACAGCTGCAGATGGAAAGGGAGGAAATAATAGCCTCGGCTGGCGAGGAAGCAGTGAGTGCAGCAAACACATTTTATGTGCTCTTTGAATACCCCATATTAACCGAGCCAAACAGGACGAGGCCCCCAACGGCAAGCTCGAGGCGTCGAAGCAGAGGCTGTCGGCTGAGCTGCTGCGCAAGTCGAGCGAGCTGCAAGAGTTGACGAGCGAGTTTGCTCAACTCCAAAAGAACTTGAAGATGGTGTAAGTATTGGCAGTAGCTCGGATTGGTCGAGCAGGAGATGATATGACGTACGCGTGGTTTAGGCAACAGCGGAACGAGAGACTAGAGCACTCGATGGCGGAGTTGACGAAGCTGCGGTCACAGTCACGGGATCCGGGCTGCCACGAGGCCAAGCTACTCGAGCTCCAGCAGCAGCTCATGGATCTGAGGGCCAGTCTTGCCGAGAGTCAAAGCCAGAACGCCGAGCTCAAGCGGGACTGCACCAAGCTACAACTCCAGCTCGAGCACCAAGGGCGCCTGGCGCGCAACCTCAAGCTTAGCGGTGAACTCCAGCAGCTGATGCACACACCCCAACAGCAGCAGCAAAAGTCCGGAAGTATGGATCACAACGATATCGGTGGGTACAGCGGCATAACAGGGCCACGAAAATCTGATCTACATCATCCTAACGTCGCGTGTGCAGCTGATTATCAACAGCAACAGCAACTGCAGCAGTTACACAGTGCCTTGGAGAGCAAAGAGATGCAGCTCGGTAAGCTTGAGAAGCTGGTCAAGCAGATGGAGAAGCACGAGGAGTACTCGCAGTTGCAGCGCACGCGCCTCGAGGCCCGCATCGCCAAGCTCGAGCTCAGTCTCAAGGATGCCCAGCAGGCCCACCGGTACGTTACAGCAGCCGAACAACATCAGTCGGATAAGATAGTAGATAGTAAGCGACGCGAACACCATCGTCGTCGCCAACACTCCGAGTGTACTCGTCACAATAAACACACCCGGGGAGCAGCTTCGACGAGCTACTGTCCGGAACAGAGTGCGAGCCATCGCCGGCCGCGACTTCCCCTGTACAAGTGGCTCCTGAGTCCGCTCTTTCCCAACACTCGTTCCCAGTGCGCTTGATTTCAGTCACCTGTATGCTTGATGGCCCGTGTGTTGATATTGTTTCATTCCTTTTGCGTTCACTGGATTAAATTGGCCCGGCTTAATAGAAACAAAACTGGTTGCACTTTTACATTAAAATTTCAACGCTTTATGTACGCGTTCATACGGCTGAGTGTTTGAAACGACAAAATTCATGTTCTAAAATTTTAGGCAATCATTTTTTTTTTTTTTTTTTTTTTTTTTTTTTTTTTTTTTTTTTTTTTTTTT